CCCCACTCACCAGCTCCTCACCTCTGCACACACCTCCTTTATAAAATACCAGGCTCTGCTCCTTAAAGAAGTGGAATAAAGATTTCTTGTTTGCTTGTTTTTAAGGAGAGTCAGATTCAAAGACATTCAAGCTGACTTTGACCTTTTCAAAACAGCCCAAGTGTTAACAATATTAAAACTGAGAGGGGAAAAAAAAATAACGCTCTCTGTTTGACGTGAGTAACAGGGGAGATGCAGTACATTCTGGTGGGCAGTCTGGTAAAAAAGGATCCTATCCATTAATGGCTACTCGGCAGCTCATCTCTTTGACCCTCCCGCCACACTTCTCCCACTAATCCCTTTGCAGAGCCAAACTCCTACACTACAATGAAATAAACTTCCAAACATCTTTGCAAGGAGAAGACAATATGGACTTTAAGGAATGTGAGAACAACTTTTTGATATCGGGTTTTATGGAATAGCAGAGAAGTAAGCTCTAAGTCCTTTCCAACTCTGCTATTTTTATACAAGCAATAGATTAACATCAAGTAGAGCCTGTTTGGCTTGCAGTTTATTAGGGAATTTGATTCTCTTGCAACCCCAACACCATCAGTGCAGACACCCCTGCTTTGGGACAGCTGCTCTGCCCCTGACCGCCCTTGGGACCTGCAAGGAAAGAAGGTTTTCCTGTGTAGGACAGTTAGAAAATAACCAAGGTTTCATATGACAGCTGTACAGAAAACACCAGCTGGACCCTGGGCTGGTAGAAATGCCTCTGCTAAAGCAGTATGGCAGCCCACAGGAAAAAGGGTGTGCAGCATCTGATACAAAGGGTGGGTAACCCAATGACAGCAATGTTACAGGGACACTTGGAAATGGTTACCCAAAAGGTGCACCCAGGAGTATGTAAAACCTTGGTAATAAATACTGCATCACTCCCGCACGTTACATCTGCTGCCTCACTCTCCTGGTTATGGCACAAAGACTTCCAGATCTCACTGCAAGGTGCTGAAAAAGCTTTTGGACACAAAGCAAACATAGTGTTCAGAAATCTTACTTTTCCTCCTGACTGTTTTTAGCAATGCCAAGCACTGCTTCCACACCAGACAGAGATGGGTTAACTCAGCAGGGCTGCAATTCAAGGTGCTCCCACCAGCACAAGGCTCAATGTGCTCCTCTTTCCAGCAGCTACTGGCTTGAGAGAGAAACGAACTAATTACCTCAGTAATTACTAAACTAATTACCTCTCTAATTACCCAGCGTCTTTGTTCACAGGGAGCAGACATTCTTGCAGAGGAGTCCTGGCTCAGCGCCTTGTGCTCTTGGGAACCTGCCTGGCTTTTTCACCATGACTTGAAGACCAGGTCCTGCTCACACCACATTCAGGATGTCTCCCCGTTCCTCAGGAAGGGATGGATGATGCTGCTGCTCCTCTGTTGGTGTAGGTAAGTTTGTATTGCAGTGTTTTGCTGTCAGAAAGCCTCAGGAAAGGCACAGCACCTTTGCTACACAGAGTTTTCTCCACTGGGAATACCCTGAGCATGGTGCTGTGTGATTACCACCATCCTGATGAACAAACCAAGATGCAGTTGCCTCCAGGCCCTGTGTGATAATAAGATAAGAACAGCAGCTGAGAGCAAACAGGAAGGTGACTTGAGATGACAGACATTCCTCACTAACACAGAGTTGAAAACAGCAGGGTGTTCACTCAGCAAAACCCAACATGAACACTGCTGTCAAGTTCCCTTACCTCCCCAATTTCCTACTCATTTTCCAGCCCTCCACTCCAATCTTGCCTTGGGCTCTTAAGAGCCAGGGTCTGGAATTGACTCAATGCTCTGCTGAACTTCAGTGTGACAGTGGGTGCTCAGCCCTGAAAAGAGCCCCTGGCTCTTTTAAGGAAGAATCATGGTTCTCATAGCATGGACATAAATGGTTTCATTAATGCTGATCACGATGAGTGGATGGTTTCAAATGTAGAGATATCAGAGCCTGAACACAGAAAGGACTTTTGTGCTGCAGAATGGACATGCACCTGGAGTGCCTTCTTCGCTCTCCTTGGAATGCAAGGCTAACATTTCTCCATCTCTCAGTGGTTGCCATCTACTGTGATGAAAAGCTGATTTCCAGGTGCTAATAGAACAGAAAGATACACACAAAAGGAGCACAAGAAATAACCAGTTTGCCTTGCCCAAACCTGAACAGCATTCGCAGGTTAAGCAGCAGTCTGCAGAGAAGAATAATGGCTAGAATTTCTCTTATTTTGGAAAGGAAAAACAAAAATGATAGAAGAGGGGAGGACACCCTCTCCTATCAGGAATTCAGACAATGTAGGAGGTATAAATATCACTCAGACTGAACCAAGGGGTAGGAGAAATAACCCCCAGAAGCTGTTCTGTGAACGATCATTAGCGTGTGTGACAAAATGCCAGCCAGAGACTGAATTGTGCCAGCCAGCAAACTTCACAGTAGTAAATAGTTTTCTTGAGCACCATGGGTTGACAGTGTGACAAAGATTCAGGGCTTCAGCTGTGGCTCACAACACCAGGAGCTGTCTGCTGTATAGATCTGACAGAAAGGACACCAGGTGGATGGGGCAGATTTCTGAATTTCATGAACAGGTATATGAAGGACAAGAAGAAAAAAAGAATCAATAAAAGCAAGGGTCTCTTCTCCAGTAGGAGACTTCAGCTTGAGAGATGCCAGGAATCCATCAGATGGAGTCCACCTGAGACTCCACTCCCCTCTTTTAACTCCCTCAAAAAGCCGCACAGGATCTGAAAAGGAACAAGGCAGTGGCAGTCTGTGCTGTAAAATGTATCCCATCCCACAGTCTTTGTGTGTTAAAGCCAGTTCCAACTATCTGTTTAAAACTGTAACGCAGGGATATCTTAACAAGTTAAAAACAAAACAAAAAATCACTTTGTAAAGCTATGTGACATCTCAGACACACATGGTTCCTGAGGAAAGGAAGTCTACTACCTAAAAGAGTCTAACACTGCTAAATTAGATGAGATAGCAGTGATTATTTTGACACTATTGAAAGAGTTGTGACTTGTTCCATAGAAACTGAGCAAAGAACAATGAAAAGCTTTGATTTAGCTCCTACAATACTGGTTTTCCATTTAAAACCTTCTAGGTAAAACTGATTTTGTAACTGACCAACAGGAATATCTGAAATTATTTTTTACCATGGGCACAGTGCATCATCCCTTCATCATCCCTGCATAAGCTGTGCCAGGAAAGGTCAACATTGGATAGTAGGACAAATTTGTACTCAGGAGTCATGAGAGATTGGAACAGGGCCTAGGGAGGTGGTGGAGTCACTGTCCATGGAGGTGTTCAAGAAATGTGGAGATGTGGCACTGAGGGACATGGTTAGTGGGTATTGTGGGATGGGCTGAGGGTAGGACGGGGTCATCTCAGTTGTCTTTTCCAACCTTAATGATTCTTTGACCTGTCCTCCCATACAAAGTATTGTCCCTTTTTTCATACAGTTAGTCCAAAACACGCGAAGTGTCCCCATCCTAGGCACACCTACTGTTTTCTTGAAATGTCCAACACTACATCTCAAGTGTTTCCAAAAGAGGTGTGTCCTGCCTGACTTGGGCACCAGCAAGTGAGAAGAAGGGAGGGAGGAAGAAGCCGAAGGCTAAAGAAGGGATGAGAATGCAGACATGCAGAAGGAGTGATGGCACAGGCAGAAGAGGTGGCAAACTGACGCTCACTCCAGAAACACTCAGCATCATTGCTCTACTTTAAAGGCAAAAGTTGTCCACAAAGCAGACTATTTTAAGGACTACGCCCTGCTTGCTGCAATCTGCATCCTCCAAGCTCAAGTGAAACATGCTAGAGATGACACCATTGATGATACAGAAGATGTTTAAAGAACACATCACCTCAAATGAAGCCTGAAACACATTTGGAAGAAAGCAAGCAAGCAAGCAAGACTAACTCCCATTGCTCAAGGCTGTCAGTATGGGAAACCAATAAACATTTGGCAATAACAGAGACCTTCCTTCCCGACATAGTTCTTCTCCTGATTTTACAGCATCATCTGGCCTTATAAACGTCTGCTTTTTCTCTATGCTATATTTTGCTGCCAACTCTAAGTCTGGCAAGGATGGATCTGCCAACTTCTTGGCTCTCTGTTACAAAAGAGAACATTATAAAGGAGAATTTGTGAGTTAGCTGATTTGTAAACACTGCAGCAAGTCACCATGTAAACATGTCACTTATGTCCCTATTATTTCTCTCAAGCAGTTTACCTGGCACCTGACACTGTATGCCAGGATTTTCCTTTCCTTGTGCTATTACTGTACCTTTGCAAGTAAAAAAACCAAAAAACCTAGCTTTTTCTGTAACATTAAAAACAAAGAAGAACCCCTTAATTAAACGGTACTCAACAAGCATCTCAATAATTAGGATAGGAGAAACACTAGCAGTATTCTGAATACAAATGAGATCTCCAGGTGCACACGCAGTTGTACAGTAGGATGCAGTTCAAACGCAGCCAATTAGAGAAACAGAACAGGTAAATAGACAGCAGAAGGCTCGAGACACATTGCTCATTTGAAACTATTACTACGGTGTAAAAGCCTTTTCTAAGATTGTTTGGTAAGATGAATGCTGCAGTAGTTATCTGAATAGACATGATAAAATGAAACTGACCCCCCTCCCCATATTAAAAGCATATAATTTAGCCCCCCCAAAATATTAATTCTATTAAGAAGGTTTGCAGTTTTGGGTGCTGCATGTCCTTCCATTCCCACGTACTCCTAAGAAAGGAAGCTCTGGTAGTCCATGAATGACAACACGCTATCACATGGCATCGTGTTAGATTGCTTTGATAGAAAACAGTAATATGTAAGTAGTATTCCTGAAACCAAGGCCAGTTATGCATAAAATCCTATGCTTTAAAGCTTCTGTAATAGTATCTGCTAGAAAAACATGAACAGCACAGCAAAGGGAACATCATCAGCCTCTGAGAACTGGAAAGAGAGACAGAGTGAAACATTAACTTTGTTCATAAAATATATTTATTGTTGGTACAGAACGAGGCATATCCATCAGTACTTTATCAGAGTGAAGAGCACAACAGAATCATTTCATAAAGGCCGTGTTAAATCGTAAGCGTTGGATCATTAACATCATTCCAGCAGAAGGCCTGATGAGAGACTTCATTAGACTACATCATTTGTGAAATAAGTTAAAGTAAAATTTATGTCATTATCCACTGTAAGAAAAACTTTATATAAGCAACAAATACGGCGAGGAGCAGCAGCTGACTTACAATGCACTGCCACATCCCGGCACACCAAGTGTTACATACCCATGTCTTTGACAGTGAGAAGTTTTTGAGGAGATTCTGCAATGAAATAGCAGCATTTGAAGGATATTTCCCCTTTCTAAGGTCAGTGAGAGGTTCTTTTCTTTTCCTTTCTTCAATCACCAATAAGTGGATTTTACTAAGACTGAACAGTGTCTTCGGATGTATGATTTCTGATGTAATAAGATATAGGTCTTGGCTTTTCAAATGGCCACACTGATTGAGCCGTGATGGCTGCTGCTCTTGAAATGGCTCTTCCAGTTCTTCTCTTTATTGGTCTGCCCTGTAAATGGGCTGTCATATCATTCTTGGGAAAAAATGCTCTTCTGCTGAAATTAGAGTTGATGGTCTTGTGCTCGATTTGGACAATGCCTTTATCCTCCTCTCCCAAGCATGCTCTGCTAAGAAAATGGTCAGAGGGGAGGGAAGAGAGAGGGAGAAACACGTGTTTCAATAATTCAAAGTTACTCCAGAGACACACTGAATTTCGGTGACATTTCCTACCCAGGATTTGTAATTTTTTTTTTCTTCCAATTAACATACAGAAAAAGAAACATTGTTAACATGCACGTCATTGCAGGGACAAGTCACAGAGGCAGAATGGAGCTATTGGAGGGCTCAACAACCAGACATTTGGAGAACTGAAGAGCTGCAGGAACGATTTCTATTCATCCATCTTAATGCTATCATAGCTCCAGTCATGCTATGGCTATTAAGGAAATTAAAACGTCTGACCTTACAATAAGATAAATCCTGTTCCCAGCAGTTACATAGTGGAGGAAATATATCCTGAAGTCACACAGCACTAAGTATGTCCCCTACCTACACTCTTCCTATATTCCGAGTCATCATCATAATCTTGATAGTCTGAACATGTTGCACTGAACTTTCACTTCATTATTCACCTCCTGTGCACAGTCGGGCCACCCAGAGCTAAAAGGATAGATCTGTCAAGTAGTCCAAGAATTATTCCTACTGCCACACCAGCAAGCTCTGCTACAGGGTCTTGACTCCACTCAGAGGTCCTGGCCTCTACCATAAAAACAGAGGCTTGCAGGGATAATATGCAGAGCTCTATTAAGAGTTTCCTACTGTCATGAACCACAAATGAAGGGTCTTTAGAAGTGAGCAGATGTATAGATACTGCATATCTAGAACAGAATAGAAAGCAGGATCTAGCATGCTAGAGATCATCTACACTCATTGGTGGGCTATGAAGTTGACCAAAGCAATCTATTGTTCTTGCCTTCAGTATCCAGAAAATAGGGAAGAAATTACGAATCTCCTTGTAAAAAACGATAGGAAGGGGTCTGACAATGTTTTGGGCTTATGTCAGGAGAAGGCCCAAATGTGAACCTCGAAATCTCACAGGAGACCTACAAACAGCTGACTCAAATACTGGAACACTATCTGGCCAGAATGGGAACATTCTCTGCAAATCTGGACAGCACAGAGTCATAGAAGTTAGGGCTCAGGAAAATTAGCAATAAAGGGAAATCTATTGTCTTTTCAGGATGAGAAGCAATGGGTTTAAGCTGTGCCAGTGGAGGTTCAGGTTGGATATTATGAAATGTTTCTTCCCAGAAGGAGTGCTAATGCATTCGATCAGGCTGCCCAGGAGGCGGTAGAATCATCATCCCTGGAGGTGTTCAAGAAAAGGGTGGATGTAGTGGGCATGGGTCAATGGTTGGACTGGATGTCTTTTGCAACCTTAATCATTCTATGATTTAAATCCTCACAGCCTTTCCAAAAATCATCTAGTGAAACACTCAACTGTATCAAGCAGTGTTACTGCAAGAAGGATTAAGATACATCCCAAAGAGTCAACAATGAGCACATGGAAAGATGCTGAAGGTCTCTGTGTTCACAAATAGTATCCAGAACTCGTCATAGAGAGGTTCAGCCTAACAGAACAAAAGGAATCAGTTTTAGGCTCCCTCACTGCTTTTATAAACAAAGATAGGGGAAACTTGTATTAATTAAGAAAATCCTCCATCTCAGTTTACTGACAGGATCCCCTCAGAGATTTCTGTAGAACCGGTGAAGGCTATTTCTACTGGAAGTCTCCTTTTGCAGCAGTAATGCAGAAACTTGCTCCAAGCCATTGCTGGGCTGAATCAACTTGGGGTAAATTTAACACTGCATAAATTAACACTGGAAATTCCCAAAAGATCGGAGAAAAATGCTGTTACTTTTCTTTCCTTTAGTGTGCTGGGAAAGAAATCAAGGTATTTGTTCACTAGGTACGTATTTCTGCCCACAACATTTAATTACTTCACGTATTTACATTATTTCCTTGATTATTTTTTTTTTTTTTTCATGACATCAATGCAGGTGTGAAGGGAACGTGGTCTGAACCTCTCATAATTAACTTTCTTTAATCAAAGTAGTGCTAAATGGTGTCCATAAAAGACAGTGTCTTTTTATTGCGTTTCAGTTCACAGCCACACTCATTTTACATATTCTTCCACTAGACAGTGAGACAGTACCTAGTGAAAATACTGGAGAATGAGGCTGAATGGAATGGTTACTCCGACGAGGATGCATGATTGAGGACTACTCTGTCCTACAATTTAAAGTAATGGTTACAAGGCTGAAGAGGCTGAAGGACAGCATTTTGTAGCCAGGCTGTCAGACAACAGCAGCTGTTGTTATCATTCCTTCGAGTACTTTCGGACCTCTCCTGCCTGCAGACACTTGCACCCCTGTGAAATAAGAGGTCTAATAGGAAAATATTGCACGGGTGTCATTAAGCTATGCTGCGGTTGTGTTTCATATAGGTATTAGGACTCTCTGTAGCACAAGGAAAAATCAAGTTGGGTATTTCAACAGCCACACTGTCCACATCAGCGAGAAGTAGATTAGGACAGGCAGTACAAATGCCAGTGGATGGTCCGTATTATTGCAGATGCTGCAATAGCTGGAGATCCTTCAGCAGTGGGAACACAAATCCATGGCACAGACAATCCTAATGTCTTCCCTTTAATGGCTCCATTAAGCAGTTTTTCTCTTTGCTTTTATTATAATAAAATACAAACATTAATAATAGAGCTTAATTTATCTCACTAGCTTCTCATGACTTTGGGAGAAGATTTAAACTGAAGATACAGCAATGTGTCAAACTCCTCTGAATTAACAGCTCTCTGGGACTTTCTAACAAGGGGAGAAAAGGACAGATAGAGACATGAGATTACAGACAGGATGAGAAATAAGGAGCATACAGAAGAGAGGGTGAGATAATTATAAGCAAGATAGGAAAGAAAGAGGAGTCAATAAATTCAATTTATGAAAAGCACAGAGTGTGCTCAGCCTGAGCACAAGTGCCCAGACTCACCGCCAGGAAATCGGATTAGTTAACTTATTTGGTTTTCAATATCTTGGTCTATTCCCTCTAGCAAATTTTCTTCTTTGTTTGTTTCTTGTAGCCAATGTCAGTTAACTTTTTCATTTCTGAATCTGCTATTTATCCTGCTCTTCTGTCTTCCGACCAAGCAGACATAATAGGTAATTCTGCAGTACTTTATAGTGGTGTTTGGCAATTATTTCAAAGTAACTGCTTGTCTGGACTTCCAGGCAATCAGCGAGTAAAAATAATTACAATTACAGCTGCAACACATGGAGGATGAGCTCTAGAGGACTGATGTTCGTTATGAAAAACAATCATTCCTGCTTGCAAATATTTCCATCATAAAAGGCTTCTCTTTCTCTGTTATCATAAGAGAGAAACCTCTGAATTCTCATCCTGAAGCACGTGTGAAAGAGAATAGGAAGCATTTAGGAAACACTTTTAAATACTTGACAGGCTCAGCTGAAGATCTTCAACAAAATAAGGTGTTTAAAAGGGCTGCGAACCTTAATGCTCATATTTATGCAATTTCCTTTTCCTGCACCTTCTGAACATGAATTAATTCGACCTCATCATAGCCTTCTGAAAACATTCTTACCAGATATAAACTTCACTTATAGCTTAAATATGTATAATTAATTAAAATTTACAGTTCCTGTTAAAAATAGCATAGAATTATAAATGTGGTAAGTGACTTTTTCAGATGACACAAGCATCAGCGATGCCAACTACACAGTGACTTACTAGCCTTTGTTTTCTTCTTCTAACAAGGGGGTACAACTGTTTACGAGGGTGGATAGTGATAGGACAAGGGGGAATGGTTTTCAACTGAGACAGGGGAGGTTTAGATCAGGTATTAGGAGGAAGTTTTTCACACAGAGAGTAGTGATGAACTGGAACAGGTTTCCCAAGGAGGTTGTGGATGCCCCATCCCTGGAGGCATTCAAGGCCAGGCTGGATGTGGCTCTGGGCAGCCTGGTCTGGTGGTTGGTGACCCTGCACATAGCAGGGGGTTGGAACTAGATGATCACTGTGGTCCTTTTCAACCCAGGCCATTCTGTGATTCTGTGATTCTAGAATGTCTCAAAAAATTCTTTTTCTAGAAACTTCACACCGGATTTTGGAATACAAAAATCACACTAAGTGAAGGCTTTGAAAATAATACATATACACATCAATACTTGCTTGCCATGGTAGGAAGGGACCTGGGCAAAAACCGTTGCACCTCTCACACCTGGGTGTGTGAGCATGGAGCTTTAGAAAGGAGACCCTCAGGCTACGACATCAGGAAAGATTTTTCTGAGCAGAGAGATGTGGTAGGCTGTAGAGTTCTAAAGGCAGTCTAGGAGCACAGGAGCTGAGTGCATTAAAGTGCATTAACGAGTGTGCAGGAGAAATATCCAAGGGTGTAACGAAGGAGGTAAATCTGAAAGGGACAGGTTGATCTCATTGATTTTTATACTTCATCGCAGGTATCCTCTCGGGTCAAAGTTTCTACTGATGATAACAAGGTTTAATATCACGAGATGATTTCAGAGCTGCCTGGGCAGCCCCACAAATTGTCCTCGTCCTGCACTGCAGCACATTCACAGAACGAGCTGCAGCTGCTGTGCTTGTCATCCAGCACTGCCAGGCTGCCCATTCAGACAGGAGCACACTAACTATATAAACAAAGAATTACAATAATAGCACCCCACAAATGAATTAAGTGCTACGGAGTACAGAAACAGCGTTAGCACTGCAACTGTTGTCTCCCACAAAAATTTACAGAGCACTTAAACCCAGAGAAGCATTAACTCCAGGAAGATCTCGAGCAGTACAGGAGCAAGACTGCGCCAGTTTAACTGCAGAAAGGTCAGAGTGAATGATGACAGCTAAATTCTTTCTAGTGAGATGGGGGTTGGCCTCTTTTCCCAGGTAGCAGCGGTAAGATGAGAGGTAATAGCCTTAAGTTGTGTCAGAGGAGGCTCAGGTTGGGTATTAGGAAAAATTTCTTCTCAGAATGAGTGGTGAGGCATTGGCACAGGCTGCCCAGGGAGGTGGTGAAGTAACTGTCCCTGGAGGTGTTCAAGAAATGCAGAGAAGTGGCACTGAGGTATATGATTTAGTGGGCATGGTGGGGATGGGTTGACAGTTGAACTGAATCATCTCAGTGGTCTTTTTCCAACCTTAATGATTCTGTGATTTTTCTATGATTTTCACATGCTCAAATATTAACTCATAGATTTTATCAGAAACAAAGATTAACAGACTTCTTTAAGTACTTTCTACCTACAGGGGAGGTTTAGGTTAGATATTAGAAGGAAGTTTTTTACACAGAGGGTGGTGAGGCACTGGAACAGGTTGCCCAAGGAGGCTGTGGAGGCATTCAAGGCCAGGCTGGATGTGGCTCTGGGCAGCCTGGTCTGATGGTTGGCAACCCTGCACATAGCAGGGGGTTGAAACTAGATGAGCATTGTGGTCCTTTTCAACTCAGGCCATTTTATGATTCCGTGATTCTGTGATTCTGTGATTCCATGATTTTATATGTGGCCTATAAGCATGTTTCCAAATGGCTTCTTTAAGAACACAGCTGAAATCAACACCAGCACCTCTGTATTTGAAAGATTGAAACTGATGAAAAAGGATAACATTTAGAAATTTTAGCTTCTGTTAACTGGAACATTTATATAGTACTGTCATTTCCCTTCTGCTGCCCTAGTAAAGCATATATGTTTATAATCTAACCTAGCAGCAGGTAGAGTAGCAAACTGAATGTAAATGGGGAAAGAGCAAGAAAACGAAATGGGGAAAGAGCAGGAAAACATCAGCATTAGACCCTGAATGCTTAACTTAAAAGAGATCAAGACTTCCAGCTGATGAGCAATCTAGTTTAAGACATCCATTCATTTGTTACTGAAAGTGGTGGTATTTATGACAAATAGTACCACTTAGTTTAATCCCCTTGTTTGACTGCTAAACCTGCAGATACCAGGAAACATCTGCCAACAGTGTTAGCTCCTGCACTAAACAATGGTTTCCCAAGGGAAGAGATGGAAACCCTATTATTTAAGTAAATTGAAAGAGGACACCACAGAGCTTGTGAGAACAAACACGCAGGGAACAGTACTGCTTAACGTGTACAAGGGACTAATTGGATAATCTGACTGTTTCCTCTTATTTTTTTGCCTTCTACAATTACTCCAGTAGCAAGATTCCTACACTCACCTGTTTGGCATGATTGACACAATGCAGGTACTGGCTAGCCAGTGCAGAGCAGCTGAGGGTCTCCTGAGCATGTTGCTGGTAACACTGCAGAATTTTGCCCTGAAGATCAGCACAGACTGGTTGAGTCTCATATCGCCTGGGGAAAGAAGAAAGAAGATTCTGGTTTCCTTCTCAAAAACATTTCGGGGGAGATGCAACTTTAAATAACAGAAGTGAGGGAGAACACTTTAAAGTCACAAAAGGAAGGCTGCTTTTAGAGCTGTTTGGGTTATAATCTGGGTAACATCAGACCCAAATGGGAAAGTGAGCTGCTAGGACCATAAGCGTCATCCTGATTTGGTTCTAGCTGGCAGAGAAAATCAACATTCAACTTCAGATGAGGACATGTTTTTTCATTTCCAGTGACACTGGAACAGGTTGCTCAACGAGGTTGTGGATGCCCCATCCCTGGAGGTATTCAAGGCTCCATCCCTGGATGTGGCTCTGGGCAGCCTGGTCTGGTGGTTGGCGACCCTGCACATAGCAGAGGGGTTGAAACTAGATGATCACTGTGGTTCTTTTCAACCCAGCCCATTCTATGATTCTGTGTTGTGAACTGAGGATCATACTGAGCATGTCTGATTTCACCTACATTAAGAAAAGTAGTCAGAGAAATGCAGGACTCATTAAGCTTCATTGCTGTATAGTCCTATGGCCATACAGTCTCGCCTCTTATTAAATATTGCTGCTGCAGAAGACAGAAAGCACCCAGTGGGCTGACCTACAGAATACAGAAAAGCTGCTGCCATCAGCAAATTACACAATCTGCTTTTGCTGATATCTGATGATAGCCTCTATTTTCGGCACATCCTCCTCCTCTTCTCTTCTACCCATCACCTCAATTGTAACCCTGCTGCCAGATGTGCAAGTTATTTAGGAATTCTGTCTGTTTTCTTTACTGTGTGAATTAATTACTCTTACCATCTTTTTGGCTGATGTAATACACAAAGGAATGGAAACTATTCTGGAAAACCAAATCTTTTTTGGACAAAAATCCTGTCATTTGTATTAATCTATATAATGTTATCCACACAGTGACACAGAATTGAAACAGAAATACAACTCCTATTTTAGAAGCAAGAGGCTGGCAAAACGATCAGAAATCCAATGTAATTTTAAGCTAATCAGATATTTACTTTATAAACAACTTTTAAGGTACTCAAAATCTAAAATAACAGAATGACCAAGGATGGAAAAGACCTCCAAGACCATTTAGTCCAACCGCCCACCTACCACCAATATTTCCCCACTAAACAATGTCCTTACTCACTGTTATACCTCTTTTACACCAAAAATAAAGAATTTCAGTGGTAGGAAAAAAAAACAACAAACCCACAACAACACATTTGAAGCTTCACAGAAAAACAGCAGCTAAGGTTTATATAATACCATTTGTTTTATATGTGGCAACTGCATACTTAATACACTTTCCCATTTAACCTACCAGGAAAGCTTGACTATGGATGTTCCAACATTTGCAGCCCACATTATTTTTAGTTCAATGAGGTCATAAAAAGAACAGGACTTATCAGCAGCTGCATCCTCAGATGAATATTCTGTTCTTTCTTATTTTGCTGATTGGCCCGGGCAGATCTCTGTTTTAGTACAGTGAGAAAATGAAATGTGAAGCACAATGTTGTTCCTTGAGGGAATTGACTTCTTGGCAATCAGTCAAGATGTAGTACCAAAGAAGAAATGCAAAGTCTCCTTGATTTTACAGTATATACCGATATAAAACAGCTCTCTTACTCCTTTCATTCATTACCGTGCATTTGTGAAATACCTAAAACAGAATTTAAACGCAGTCCCCGGAGCTTAAAACATTTTATGATCTGGAAGTTCAAACTTCTGTAGGCTCTTGTGGATGAGGATTTCCCCTTAATCCCCCCCTCTACTGCTATTAGCAAGCGTTTCAAAAGCGTGTCAGGCATCAAAATGTACGACCACAAAATGCTGTACACTGACTGACTTCAGCATAGTCTATGGCTGTACTGGGGTGAAACAGAAATAAGAGAGGAAGCACTGTGTATGCTCTTTGTAGATGTGTGACTCAGCTCTTACCCTCTGTCGATTGATTTTTCCCTAAGCCACGCCATCGGCGCCCACATATAATTCCTTATTGGAATGCTCCAATGGACACTTTACAGTGCCCACAGTACTGGAGCACCGTAAGACATGTTGATTTATTTTCATATCATCATTTCCCATTGGTGATGTTTTCAACTGTGCCCTCAGCCCACTCCTGCAACGCAGTCCCAGTGCTGGTCAATGCAGCAAACACAGCCACTTTCTTGAAGTCAACGAAGTCCATTTTCTTGGATTAATCTGTTCAAGGCGAGCACCAGCTCTGTATTGATCTGCTGTGCTTGTTACGCTCCCCTAATGCACTATTTGCACTTTTGGGAAAACACTAAATGAGATTACTATCTAACATTAGATGGCCATAAAGCATGCAGGGCAGGATCTCCCGTTCAGGAAAAAAGGCTGCAGTGCACATTATGGTAAAGCAAGCAAAAGGTCTGTGATTGATTTCTGGTGGGTGATGGATGGCAGAACTCTCAGACAGACGGTCAGAAGTGGCCAACAGCAAGGAAACTCCTCAAAAGGGAAATGAAACATCTCCCTCATTGATAGCTTCTCCAATGTTTCCGTAAATAATGATAATTATACAGAATTTAAGAGTTTGGTGGGGTTTGACTGAAGAAGAATCTTGTAAGAAAAGGTAAGCAATACAAAAACAGTAGTTATGAGGAATCTGCAGGGAAAACATAAAGATTTTTAAGACTCGAATGGATCGAGCAATGTCGTCTGGTTCCAGACCTGGCCATACTGAAGCAGGAGATTCCTCCTCTGAACTCACCTCATGTCCTGAGGGGTATATTTTGGAATATATAGCAGGGAAGTTGTCCAAATTTTATTTATTTTTTTACCATTTAGGAATTTCACAATTAAATTGAAGGAAACAATTGAAAAAATACATATTGTAGTGGTCAACGGGGACCGAAGGACACTCTGACAGATCTCCATCCTCATTCAATGCAACTCAATAACTACTTTCCAGAGTCAATACACGTGAAATTTAAAATACCTTTCTTCTCCAGAGTCAATATGAACAGCAGCCTGATCTGTGCCCTGCGCCACACGGCATGCTTTTATTAACGTGTTTTTATTAAGTTTACAATTACTCGATCTGCTTTCGCTTTCCCAGCTGCTCCTCAAGCATCTCATCTGCCAGCAAAATATTTCTCTGTGCTCCGAGGCAGCCGCGCGCCCACCTTTTCCATCAAGCTGATGCACCACAATCTCATAAAGGTAATGGGATGAAGACACAAAAGAAAATAAGAGAGAGCTTTAAAAAGAAATATTCTATGCTAAAGCACGAAGGGAAAATTTAATGAGAGTAACTTTGTGCTCATCTAGCCTTTCTCAAAGAGCATAGCTTATCGTATTCCCGGGGGCTCGGAGAAAAGGAGCCCCTTCATGGCATTCAAACAAAATGTCTACTAAAGAGGAAATATGAAATCACCCTGGTAAGTTTTGTGATAAAATTGACATTCTGACTGAAGGAATCTGAATGGCTGATGAGTTTCCAACTGTGCAGGTATCTGGCATAATCCCACCAGATCAGGACTTCAGGCAATTGTCATAAAATATATAAAAAAAAATAGCAACAAAAAACCAGCATGGATTATGAAAAAATTGTACCATTAGATAGCCAGAAGTATCCAGGGCCTAATTTGATTCCTCATTAAAATGCTGACACTCATCAGAAGCATCTGTTCTTTGTGTAACCCTTGGCATCCAGTGCTAGCCCTGTGCTGCTCAGTAAAATGATGCCCTGGGTCTTAGGTCAGGCAAAGCACAGCATAACCCAACACTATGTGCAAACTCTTTCCCTACAAACCAGCATACATGTGGCCAAATTACAACCCAGGGACAGTCTCCAGCATGTGCACTATGTTGGGTGCCATCCAGGGAAATGCAAGCTTCAAAATCCAGCCTTGCAAAGGATTGTGTTACCTAGTAGACCAAATACAGCACCATAGGAGAGAGCTGAAGCCTATGACTTGACCTGCTTTACTTGCTCCTGCTGCTGCTATCAGAGCTCATCAGTGCTGAGCAGCACACAAAGTAATGAAAAAATATGTCTCTGTCCTCAAGTTGCTTACAGTGCACATAAAGAAGCAATGCACTGATGCATGGGAATGCACAAGGGATGGAAGGTAGTATCATGGGTGGTTCAGAGAGATATCAAATAGCAAACTGGAAATAACAGTGAAGAACAATCATAGAATCATAGAATCACAAGGTTGGAAAGGACATACAAGGTCATCAAGTCCAACTGTCCTCCCATCACCATTACTACCACGAGCCACTAAACCATATCTCGTAGCTCCTCATCCAGGCGCCTCCTGAACGCTGCCAGGGACGGCGACTCCACCGCCTCCCTGGGCAGGCCATTCCAGTGCCTGACCACTCTCTGGGGGAGAAAGTTTTTCCTCATGTCTAATCTAAACCTCCTCTGGTACAACTTGTGGCCAACAAGATGAGCTTTGATAGAGAAGACTCTCTCTACCACTCCATGGAAAGAGGCTGTGGTGAGGTGTAGGTTGGCCTCTTCTCCCAGGTAACAGCAGTAGGATGAGAAGTAACAGCCTTAAGTTGTGCCAAGAGAGGTTCAGGTTGGATACTAGGAAAAAATTCTTCTCAGAAAGAGTGGTGAGGCACTGGAACAGGCTGCCCAGTGAGGTGGTAGAGTCATTGTCCCTGGAGATGTTCAAGAAAAGGGTTAATGTGGCACTGAGGGATTTGGCTTAGTGGACATGGTGGGGATGACTTGACAGTTGGATGAGGTTTTCACAGAATCACAGAATGGACACGATTGGAAGGGACCTCAAGGATCATGAAGCTTCAACCCCTCTGTCACATGCAGGGCCACCAACCTCCCCATTTGATACTAGACCAAGCTGTCCAAGGCCCCATCCAATCTGGCCTTGAACACCTCTAGGAATGGGGCATCCACAACATCTCTGGGCAGCCTGTTCCAGCACCTCATCACTCTCACAGTAAACAACTTCCCCCTGACATGCAACCTAA